TACAAAAATAAAATGGCCAAAAAATAAAGTTGGCGTATTGCTCATTGGAGGTATCGAAATGTTATCCACAATTTCACCCCTTCTCCTAAATTGCATCTCTACACCAAAATTCATCAATGTTGGTTCAGCGGTTTAGGCGTCAAAACGAGATAGATTTGCTGTCGCATATAAAATATTAGTTTGTATGAAGATTTTACATAGTTAAATTGTAGCCATTGTTATTTTGTGCATGGAATGATAATCTTTAGAATAGACATTTCATCTAAGTCGTAAGTAAGTGAGTTTTTTAATCGCTACCAGTTTTCCTCATAGGGTGATGGCTACAATGGTTTAAATGGAGGAAAAAAACTTAAATTAATCTTTTTACCCAGGTTTTTTCTATGGATGTGAAAATCGATAAAAACTTTTTGAATTAAGTTTAATGATCTTAAAATCAGTAGGTCAGGTATATGCAGTTCATTGTGAAAAAGTTGGTAAAAAAAGATGATTTAGCGTCTTCATAAATTATCAAATAGATATGGATTTTGTTTTGTATGGATTGAGTTTCCGAGTGTTCCAGAATAAACTTATACAAAAAATTATAACAAACTAGTGGAGTAATTTCAACCAAACAAATTAATAACCTTAATATTACAACAATAGAGCTATATACGTTCACGTTTTCTTTTTTTATGATGCCAAGTGACGTGACGAACTAGTCGTGCGCCTGGCGGTAAGCGACACGCCACTCTATAACAGTTCCAGTGCCACTCAAGAGCTCTAAATCGCGAACTCTTTTGACACATAAAGTTGACATGTCCCTGTCGATGTGATATGTGATGTGCCTGTAATTTTATCAGCACCACGCAGTAATGCTCACATCACTGCTTGGCGACAGAAAGAGGTAAGGTGGCGGTAACGCCCTGGACGTACTCTTTCACAAGGAGCGCTACAGCTACTCATTCAAAAAAAACATCACTAACCTGTATAACCCTCATTGGCAATCCAGTTTCTTTCGCCAACTGTTCTCGTATGTGTCTTGTTGGTTTCGGTGTTTGCGAGAAAGCCGACTTTAAAATCTCCAATTGTTTCGCCTTGATTGTAGTTCTTGGTCCTCGACGTTTGGAACCACCATTCCCGTCGTCTGGTGACTTGTTCTCCGCCTGCGAGTCTCGAGTCTCAGGGTCTCCGTCGAGGGAACCCTGGGAGGCAAACAGATACAACTGAATGCGACAATGTGGTCGGGTTGCCAGGTCAACAAAATGAGATGGTCGAATTTAGTGGTAATAATATTAGACAACATCTAATACATTGCTCAGATCCCTAAGTAAGTAACTAAAGCACTTATAGGAATTTTGGTACCGGGCATGTTTTGAAGGAGCGCGAATTTCGGTAGGTACTAGTCCTCAAACAGAACCGGGATTTCCCGGTTCTTTTGATACTTCCGGTACTAGGTATTTATTGTTCATTTGTGAAACAATGAGTGAAGTAGTAAGCAATAGTACTCGACGGGTTAAGAAAGTGATAGGTTTCAAAAGTAAAAACGGATAATATTGAAGCCTTTTTATTGAAAATAACGTCGATAATACAAATCAGTGAACTTAATTTTTCAGCCTTACTTATTCTTGGAAATAAAATAGAAAAAAAACAACTTTTGCAATCAAAGTAACAATAAATTATACTTATAGTTCCTCTAGTATTTTGACGCCCTTGGGCTCGTAATTAAAACCGAAATTTCACTATCGACGGTTCTTTCGAGATCGGGATTTCCTGGTTCTGAACCTTGACTGTGTTATGGAAATCGGAAACATTGATGGTATTACTAACACCCAGACCCGAGACAATATAGACAATTTTTCCTACATAGACCAGGTCGGGGATCGACCCCGGGACCTCAGAGATGGCGACACCATGAAAACCGGTATGCAAGCCAATTGACCACAGAGGTCGTTATTAGGTATATCATCAATAAAATAATAGTACCTCCTAACGAGTATTCATAGGCAATGTATTAATTTCTATGTGCCTTGAAGATTAAATTGAGCTTTGTGTCTGTCTACATACAGTACATATTACATTAATATAAATGCTTATATCGTATATCGCCGTTATATTGGGAAAAACGATTATTTCACAAAGAACTTTAACGAAGTTAACTGCTTCCGTGGCCGAACGGTTGCCATGCAGAGGTCCCAGGTTCGATTCCCGGGCCGGGAGAAATATTTGTATGGCCTACATTTTCTCTCGTGAGTTTGGGTGTAATTTGTGGTTGTCTATATGTGTATCCATGGCACCCGCGACCCAGGATTTCGCTAGTGCGGGGCTATGTTGAGCGTGTGCGTTATTAAATTATATTATTATTATTACTAAATTTAGTATGAAATAAATGCAATTTATATTTCAACGACGAATATTTCTTACAAATACCATGATCAACAGAAAGAATATGGAATACATTTTATGTTTTTCTCTACTTCTCTGTTCCTTATCACAACTAACGTAATCGACATTTTAAGCAAAATTGAGTTATTAACATATCCAGGATCCGCAAAACTATATTTACCACCACCTGTAATTGGTTTTATTTTCGCCTCCCTTCTAGGCATGATCTACCTAAGCACACTTAAAAGGCTCTGATTAGGTTGCGGACCCAAGTTTGCCAAACCAGGGAGAATATGCACAGATGGGGTTACGTGGTGTCTCTCCCCAGACAATGGCACATCTTTTATTGTGCCCTGCGTGTCCCTGATAATGTTGTGTCAGTCGCTAGGTACTGGGGAAACTACCAAAGTACAAATGCATTAGTTATGACAAGGAGGGCAGAATTAGAAGGAAGTTAGATTCTATAGCTGACCTTATTACCTAATGAATATAACAGTTACAAGGCAACAGGATCTCGCACAAAGAGATTTCAAACGAGAAATTCAACAAACCTGATCTTCCGAGTCTTCATGTGGCTTGGTGTCTCCATTATGTGAAAGCTCGCTATGCAACGCAGGGTGCGGTGCGTGCGCTGGACTGCTCGCGTTGTTGGTTGCGCGGGATTCTTCTTCTTCCTCCTCATCCGATCCACTGCCTAGTAGCGAATCAGCTGAGAAAGGAAAGATTATACCATAACAAAAAAAAGAGTATAACAATTTTTTTAAAAATTTGTTTAACTTTTACTTTGTTGCGACTAACGGTACTCAGTCAACTTTAAGTATTCTTCTCCTTATCGTATCGATGGCATACACTATATAACTATTATGGCCCAGAGCTGCACAACGCCGACCGTGTCACTAATAACCGCCAATAAGGCCCCAAGCGCGCAGGTGCACTGCCACTGTGCCCGTCACACTGAGATATAAATTGAAAAGTCCCATGTGTCTGTAATTTCACCAGCACCCGTACCTTTCAAAACCGGGACGCCGTAATGTGAGCTGCTTGGCGGCGGTAATAGGTAAGGTGGCAGTATTGCTCTGGACACTGGCCTGAACACTTACAGAAGGAACTCTACTGTTACGAAATTAATACCGAAGTCTAAAGTTATTTAAAGGTTTCTAGATCCGCCATGACAATTCGTGTCTAGGAGAAAGACTCTCGAAGGTATAAAGAACATCAATCTATTAGGGCCTTATAAAATAATCTAGCTTAAAGTTACGCCTTTCCCACTTATTATATACATACACTACGTACTATATACACTACGTGTTATTAAGTGCATAATGGAAAATTTTGAGATCCCCTAAGGCAGTTTAGATATTCCTTTAAAAGTACCACTTTTAAACGATAACAAAAAACCAAAGACATGTACCATTCTGTAGTAACCCTTTGGAAAATGGAGTCAAAATTGACTTATCAAAAAGCAATCGCGCCCCCTACGGTCGGTTTAATTAAATAAAAATGTAATTCCGCTCCCCTAGAGAAACGGCAAAAAAAAGAATTAGCTGCAAAAACAATTACTTATGGTATGGGAAATGTGGAAGTTACAACATGTTCTCGAAAGAAACTCGAAGGAGTGTTTACAATCTTTAAACAGTTTTCAAAACTGAAACAGGTTACTTTGAGAATTGAAATGAAAATCCGTGACTAAGATTGGTTACGTTGTTTTTAAAGATTGTATTCAACAATAGCTTTCTTTGTTATGATGCCAGCTATAAAAATATGGTAGGTAAGTTAATGTAGTTGTAAAACAAAATGAAGATTTAAGTGGCGTTTTGACGACGTCTAGCTAACATATAAAAAGTCATTAAGCGAAAATTGATTATCTAAGTAGATTTTTACTACACATCAATTCAACTTTTCAGTCATTTATGATAATTTGGTATATTTTAAAACTTCATACAATGTATGAATACAGATATTGTATGACATAATTTATTACATCCTTGGTGTTGAAAATGGTATATTCTTTAATAACAAGTTTTGCAGTATTTTGTAAGTGTAATCGCCACACATTTAACAGGCTTACCGCAGCGGGACTCTTTGTCGAAAACTTGTTTATAGTTTACAAAAAATAATATTAATATTATGCGTGGCTGTCATAACATTTTATGCTTAAAACTTTACCATGCGTGTTATTTGAGTGTTTCTTTTAAAACGACAAAATTTTTCTAGAGCTTCTTGTTTCACGAATACTCAAGATCTTTGCAAAAATAATCCTACATATGTCGACTAGCTTATCGAGAGTTTGGTGAAAAGAGTTAAATACAAAGATTCTTTCTGATTGATGTCGACGTCTTTCTTTCTATTTCATCTTATATACTAATAATAATTAATAATTTAGAAAGGTGTAACGATTCAGTGGCATCATTAGTAAATGAAAATGTAGTTGTAGGCGGACTGTATTTAAAGCGCTAGTAATTCTTTGCCTGTGCTATCATGGCTAAAGTGATATTTAAGTACTCACGCGTTCCTCCCTTAGTATTAATAATCTTAAGCAAAAAATAGAAAATAATGACAAACGCCATTTTCTCGAAATTACGGACTAGTTTCACAACTAAACGTCGATCCACATACATTACTTATGCAGACCTGTATAAATACACAACGTTTGTTCTTCTTGAAACAAAAATTTTAAGAAACACATTGTTGGTCTATCTAATTACAGGCAATGGGACTTGTCAAATTATCTCACAGTCTTATGTGCACGTATATATTTGTATAAAATATATTTGTTTCATAATTAAATATAAATATTTGTTCTAAGACGCACATAAAATAATCCAAGTCAAAATCGACTTTTATTCAGAGCCAATAGTAGGGGCGCAAAAACCGTTTTACACAGTGCAAACAGAAGGGTCGTTGTTATAAAATATTTACAAGAATTCGAGTGCAGGACAACACTTAGGCAAATGTCTCTTTGAGGGCACCGATGTGGTGTGAAGAGGTCGACCTTTGTTCAGTAAATGAATAATACAGAATTTAAGATTTCAGCGTTACTAAATTATTTACAAAAAAAGTATTTTGTTACCTTACATCTCTTTAAAAAAAATCGTTACGTATTCTTTTTATATGCCTATAATGAATGCGACTTTTTTAACTTGCACGGAAAATTTAAAGTAGTATTGATTTTATTGAATATTCAATATGTTTAATATAATTCATGATGTTTTTATTACCATGATATTCACATATTTATTGTGAAAATACTCCACTAGTTTGTTATATTGATGTGGATATAAAGATCGAACAAGTAAAAAGAAAAATTCTTACGAATTTTGCTCGTGGTTCAGTTAGCAGAGCCGTAGCCATATCGATACAACAGACACTGGTTTGAGTCCAGTCGCATCAAAATACTTTTTTTCACTTGTTCGATTTTTGTATCATTAATAAAAAAAATTATAAGTTGTTCAAAGAAAAAAAATGGCACTCAATTCTATTTTTATATTGACTTGGAAACAAAAAAAACCCACACAATCTAGTAAATTATAGCAAGCTAATGTGGACCAAATTAAGGCAATGAGGTTGCCATCGGGACTTATTAATCTTGAAACTTTTTCCGCTGTGACTGGCGGTTCTTGATGTTGCAAGTCATTCGAGGGAAACTTGTGTTATTACGAAGATTGGGGTAAGACTTTATATATAAAACTCTTTACGATTATGTTCCGATTCATACGAACAATGGTATCCTGTAAATTGTAGATTATAGAGATGATATCGTAGGATAATAAGGATGGTGTCAAACCTGAAAGGAACAACGAAATTTACAAACCAAGTTATGTAAATGTGTTGAAGATAATAATACATAGAAATTTCGACTATTTTCGACGATCCCAGTGCTTTTAATAGATTAATTTGGATACCAAGTTTTCTAAATTGTCGGTGTTAATTTAGTTGCTTTAGCACTACTGGTACAGGTAATTATTTAATTGCAATTAGCACATTTAAAAAAAAGGAAAAAAGGGTATATCCATAAACAAGTTTCTAATAAAGAAGTTCGAATTAAACTGTTGCTTTGGGATTTACAGGATACTCTACCAGTCTTACTACTATACCGAGGAGCCTGAATATTTCGTCATGCTGACGAAATTAGAACAGCATTTGTTTTTAAAATATTTAGTATCATGGCCTCGGATGATGCGTTAGTAACAGTTAGCTCCTTGTGAAAGACTTCGTCGAGGGAAGTAGTGCCACAGCGTTCCGGTTTTGAAAGGTAAGCGTACTGGTAAAATTACCGGCACATGAGACTTGTCAACTTATGTCTTAGGGTGACTGGCACGACAACTGCTATTGAACACCAAGCACACGACTTGTTCGTTCCATCCCTGGTTATCATAAACAAAATATCATTGCGGTTACGGTGGAAAAGTAAAAGTGATATACGTTAATGTGGCCTGAGATAAACAGATTTCTTTGCGAAATTTTCTTTGACCAATAAATCGAATAAAAAAACTAAAGGGACAAATTGGGATCATAAAGTAATACAATGGTTTAAATACTCATCGTTTAACTTTACATGAAACAGAATACTTCCTACATTGTTAACTATTTACAGACATCCTATAACTGGCAACAAAAGTTAATTTCTCGCTAGCTCTGATTACCACCAGGTGGTTCACTAAAGGGTGGTACAATTATAAACAAGGAGTTTACAATGGACATAAAATGTACTAAAATTTGAGCCTTCCAGTGTTTGTCTAGTCTAATTAAGCAATTACGTGTTAAACATAAAATTAGTATCCCTTACCACATATTATAAAATATAAAATTTAAATTTTTTTTATAACAGTAAGTTTATTAAATATTACGATGCTTTATTACCATGATATTTAAATAGGTACTTTTGTATAATTACTCCACTAGTTGGTCATAATTATTAATACAAAAATCTGTACGAAACCTATTTCATTTAATTTCGCTGAAAAAACAACACCATTATTATTTTCAAAACAACGTATCTATTTAATTCCTAACAGTATTATCTTCTTACTGACAAGGTAGCAAAGCTTTTATTTATATTTGTTTTTTTTTGTAACTGTCGTTCTAATAACATTGCTTGATTCGGAGTAAGGACATTTTGCTCAGGTGGAGATTTTTGGGAGGTTCTAACATGGATTGTCTGTGCGATGCGATTCAAACAATGGCCCATCTCACATCGTGCTCTGCGTGCCCTTACACCTGCACGCTTGAGTATTTAACGATGGCTACTATTATGGCTAAGTCCTGGGCCACAATAGTATAAAGCGTAGGCCAAACGAAGCTAAGCTGACTTAGCTTAGCTCGCGTAGCCGGGGCATCTATTCATACTTCGGCTCACACCGCGAACTAAGTCAACCGAGCCAACTAAACTAACCCAACAATATCGATAAGCCAAAATATGTCGCCCTCCTGCCGTCCTTCACTCCCGCTAGTATAGTCCCTACATTGCATCCCTACATGCTAGTATAGTCCGCATAGTCACTACTTAAGCACTACGTGCTTTCTTAGCTTAGAGTCGTTCGCAGATACGATAAGAAGAAGAACGTACAATCAGTTTAACTAGTAAATTTATAATATCCCTGTAAGTTTAATTGCTTAAGTTAAGTGTTGCTACTAAACATCACGTACAAGGGTTCAACGTTCAAGTTACTGCATAATTAACTTAGATCTATTGTACAGTTTTGTTGACAT